AAGAAAACCTTCATACTGAATATTCTCCACTGAGAAAAAAATAAAAGAGACATTCAAAAAGCTATGATCATCCGATAGAAATTTAATAACACTAAAGCAATGTTATAGTGATTATCTTTACAACAGTTTATAAGTATTTACCAATTTAGTTCTCATAATGCCAAACAGTCTCAATGTATATCAAAGGAAATGTTTTGGAGAGGTTCTTTTAACTTTTCTTAGAACTTTGCAAGTAATTTCTGCATTGCTGTTACAATAATAAAGGTCACTATCACTTAACCACCATGGGTTGGAAAAAACTGAGAGTTTGGGTTATCAATTAAAAATTGGTAAAAGACTTTTTTTGCTGAGACAAGGTTTCACTACATTACCAAGCTGGTGATTCTCTTCCCTCAGACTGCAGAGTAGCTGAGATTACAGGCATTCAACACTATCACCAACAAAAGATTATTTTTATAATAAATAATTTATTAGTTCCATTCAGTATGATATTTCAAAGCATAAGAAACTCAATGTTTGAAAAAATGAGAATGAAAAGCATATTATATATAATATTTGGTAACTTTAATTCACAAAAAGTTAATACTGAAGTAGGTTAAGAAAGGAAAAAAACCCAGGCTATAGCATACGCAAAAATGAAAGTGTTAGAATCAGATGCTTCAGATAGTGACACATCCAGCTCATCTTTGACCTTAGTGAAATGGTCAGTAAATGACATCACTCTGCCAACCACCAAGAATGTAGGTTCTCTAAAAAATATTTTTCAAAGACCCAAGGAAACCTAAGCAGTCTCTGCAATTTTTTCCAGTTTATGAAAATTGGATTCCTATAAAAGGAAAATGGACCATTTTTACTGCAACAAAAACTGATTTGTAAAAGCTGGAAGCAGTTTAAAAATACTCAACATGAGGTTCTTGTTAGTCTTGAAAAGTAAGAGTTATAATAAAAAAATGGTCCAAAAATATGGTACAGATTCATGGTATATAACAGGAAAAAAAGCTACTCTTGCACCTATTATTTTTAATTAGCTTCAATAGCAAGTTCCATTTTACTTTCTAACACCAGTTCAGATTTGGGGAGGGGAAGATTTACATTTGCCTCTCTGGGATTGGCAACTCCATAGCTAATGCCTTGGAGCCCTAAATGCATTTTGCATTAGCTCTAAATGTCGGGAAATCCTGGCGCCAAGGGGTTCAAACCAATAGTGATGCATGTCTAAGACCCAGGATTCGCTGTCCAACTGCCAGTATCTATTTTATCAAACATTCAGTCTCTCTTGTAAAATGAGATTGATGAGTTTAGCAGTTTTCACTGTTTCCAATTAAACTGCCTTGCTATATTACAAAAATGCAGGCATTCAGATTGAGAAGGGCCTTTGGCTTGGATTTTATGAAAAACACCAATTTGAATTGTTTAAACACTTCTCTTAATCTGGCTTAGTTTCTCAGGTTTGAATGCATTTGTCATTTTAGGAAAAATTTTTTCTGAACAATTAAAAAAATAAAGTTCATTGTCGTTCAAATCAGCAATTTATTCTTTACCTTGCAGGAACTTGGGATTACCTATTTTATATCAATCCACTCACACTGAAATGTTCAAAAAACAGCGAAGTCCAAAAAGCTGTGAGAGCTAGCTGAAGAGCACGCCACTTGGCCCTGTCAAAACCTGCTCCATATTTCATCCCACATACCACTGTCAGTCAAATCATTACAACAATGGTAATGACAGAAATCACCTTTTATACATTAACCATTTATATTCTTTCCCTAGATAACTTAGCCATGCTCATTTATCAAAGACATATGATAAAGAAGCAAGGAAAGAATCTGTAAGTCATCTGGACCTCTTCTCAGATTTAAGGAGGAAAAAAACAAAACCCCAAAGGAAAAAACCCTCTCAATATATTAATACTTTTTCTTTTTAAAGGTATTTAGAGAATCAGTTTTTTCAGTATTTTAAATTCAATTAAGACATTATTTTTTAAGTTATCCTAAATTCTTTATGGTGTCCATAAAATATTATATTCTTAGTGGAGATGAACAGGAATCCAATAACTTGTTTAATATTTCTTGAAAAAATTAAATATTAAAATATCTGAGTAATTTAAAATCTGTTAAAATGAAAAATCTTAACAGTGATTTGAGTCAATGTTATTAACTCATTTTAAATTTACCTATTAGATATCAGAAGCTGAAAGGTAACTGCTAGTTTAAAATTTTATATATGGGACATTAGAGAGTAAAATTATCACAGATATACAAAATATCACATATGTACAAAATATGTGAATAATTATGAAGCAATTCAAAATATTTGTCTTTGCAGAATTAAAAAATATGCCAGCTTCATGGTTTTTTAGTATCAAGGGAGTCCTAACTAGCCAAAAATGACTGAATAAATGAAAAAAAGTAATTAATTCCAGTGTAGATCAATAAAACAAAATCTAGAAAGAGTATGTATCCTTGGCTATATTATATTCTCCATATCTCTGCTAATACAATTGAGAGCCCCTATTAGTTTGATCTTTTAGCTACAAAAACTGGAATAAATTGATTGTAAATTATCCTAGAAATAAAAAAGTAACAGTTACATGAGTTAAATCCCCAAGAATTATAAAAGAGATGAAAGACTTAACTTTGTCAGAGGAACAACTTTTTAAAGGATAATTTTCAAAACAAAATGATTATACTAAGTATATTATGCTTTAGATTGGAAAAATAATCTACTGTTTTATTAACTAATCATTTAAGACAATATTACCATGATGTGTCTTTTATGAAGTAAAGAAGCTATTTAAATATTTTTACCCTTGAAAAGGAACTGAAGGTTCCAAAAAGATTTTCTTAAAGTAATTTAAATAATTATTAACAGAACTGAGAAAATCCTGACGTTTTTGGACCTAATATTTTACTTAGTCACAATTAGTCACTAAATGTACTCCTAAAAACATTTTGATTGTTTTATAAAATGACCATTTTCAAAAGCCCCAAGTGAAAGATTTTCCTGCATTGGGCTTGTAAGATTATTTTGTATATTCAATTTTAGTGAAAATGTTTAGTTTCTTTAAAGTCACATAATTATATAAAAAGTAAAAGCAAGTCTTCACATAAGTAATGCATTAAATTAGTAGCAGTCTACTTTCTTTAGATTGGCAATATCTGCAATAAATAAAAAAATGCTTCATTCATAGTGAAACAAAATGAAAGAATAATTAATTGAAAGAATAATGAAGCAAAATTCTTTGATATATTAGGATCCTATTTCCAAATCATTTCTTCCTTTTTCAATTATGTTTCTGAAAACATTTGTACAGTGGAACTGCCACGTGATATAGTAGTTGTAATGATTAAACAGAGCCTCTATTTAAATAATTATACCTAATATAGCCAGAAGAATCAAAAGTAATCAAAAGCCATATGCTCTCTAGCATGGCTAGCTTTTATTCTTGAGGCAAGGAATTACTTACTATGATAATCTAGTAACTAGAAAACAATTTCTAACTATTTAAAGTTCACTACAGAACACTGAACTATGCATTTCATATAATGCTCCTATGTTTTTCCACTACATTTTTAAGCTTTTGAATCATGATTGTCAAAACTAAGTGGGCTGGATCTGTATCTAACAAATGAAATAGACCAAAAGAAAATATCACTGTGCCTTATAGGTAGTAAGAATTATCATTTTAAGATATTTTGTTTTACATATATAGGTGGATACATATATGTGACTAAAAATGTGTGTGTATACTAGGTTGCAATATGAAAGTTTTTTTTTTTTTTTTTTTTTTTTAGTGCTGAGGATCAATCCCAGGGGCTTGTGTATGCTAAGCAAATGCTCTAGTACTAAGCTACATCTTCAGCCTTGAAAGGTATTTCTTTTAATATGAATTGTGGTCATAAATGCTTAAAGGTCACTATTGAACGTTTCTGTTTCCTCCAAATTAGGAGCACGTTATACTGGAAAGAACACAGGTTTTGGTGATATATACCTGAATTCAAATTTTCACTCTTATGAGTTGGTTACTTAAATATTTTGTGGCTTGAGTGTCTATAACAGTGCAGGTTAAATGAAAAGAAATATATTTGTAAAACTGACTATAATATAATTAATAATCATTATAGCAATTATAATTAAGATTGGATTAAAATGCTTATTTTAAGGGATAAAAGTTGTAACATGTTGACTGCAACCGTATTCATTTAAAAATATATGAATGAATCTCTCAAATAGAAAACAGATTATAATGAAAAATATAATTTTAGAAGCAGAAATACAACAATAATTTAAATAGGCTTAAGAGGAAATAAGATTATTCCTATTCAGAGTACTAGCTTAATGTGAAATTTAAAAATTTTAATAGCCTAAATTAAAAATATTATATGTCTGTGAATGGAATAAAGAGGAAAATATTGTTTATGACTTTTGGCAAGATTAAAAAAAATTTATATAACATCATTAGTAATCAAGTTGTATATCCGCTGTGGGGAACTTTATGATAATTGCAGGACAATCCCAGCCTGTCATATTTTTTTTCCTTAAATATTTTATTTGAATGCCATTTATGATACAAAAATATTCAAGTAAATCAAAGTATCAACTTTGTAAAATAGTGGTATTTAAATAGTTGTAAAATATGTGTCTTGTATTCTCATATTGTATTGGCTTTGGAAAGTACTCAGAAAACAACCTATATTCACTAACTTGGCAAAAGCATTGTCTTTTTCAATGGACAGATCATATTTTCTACACTTGATCTTAGCCAAAAGGCCAAGAAGCAATGACAGTTGATATTTTCCAAAGTGATAAAGATTTTTTAAGATCTGTGATCTCCATTTTTTAGATATAAAAATGTGACTTCACAAATTAATTTAAAAATATGCATGTTGAAAAGACTTGAGCTTTTTCCTTTAATGAAAAAGACAGAGAAATGAGGAGTGAAGAAAATTCTAGCTTTTCAAAAATGAAGCATCATACATAGTTTTTGGAAGACTGTTTACCTGCCAGGAAATGAATGCTGTCCAACTACATCTCCGTTCTGAAGGTGATAGTCATTGAAGAAATCTGGACTCATGGCTCCTTCAGTGGCAATTAATCCATCTAGAAAGAAGGAAAATGGTAACTAGTTAAATGTTTTTGTAGAGAAAAGGAAACTACCTTATCAAGCAAATACAGAAGTAATTCTTGTATAAATAAGAAAAATCTCAACAGTAAGAAAATAGTCTATAAATTTATCTGGAAAGAAAAATGGTGGCATGACATGGTGTTTTCTATGGAAGTATTCTTAGAAGATCATATGGACTAGTTTTGTTCGCAACAATTCTGCACAATAATTCAACATTTATTAAGCATATACTATATGCCAGATAATACCACAACAGAGATGGCAAAGACAGTCTCTTTGAAAAGCTTACAGTATTGTGAAGAAAGAGAAAGGTAAGGAGATGAGTCGAGGTGGGGTGAAAAACAGCATGAATAAAAGTTAAAAAAACATGAATAGCATGGTGTAGATAAAGAGCAATACTTTAGGGCAGTGGTGGTGAACCTTAGGCATGTGTGCAGGCTATTTGCAGCCCTGAAAGCTCTAAAAGGATTACTATTGCTGTTTTAGAGTATATTCCTCATTTTATTCCCAGGGAGCTTCATTCGTTTATCATGATTAGGGAATTGGATATATCAAATAAATGAATTTCTAAATAAGCAGTGCTTAACAAATTAAGTCCTAAATGTTAACGTACACACAAACTAATATTAGAAGCTAGATAACCTATTTTTAGTAGAGTTATGAATAAATTAAAAATAGAAAGGATCTGAGGAAAAAAGATCTATGTGATGATCTAAGAGAGGTCCCATGTATGGAGCAAATACTTTAGTATATGGCTTTTATCATAACTATTTGGATGGCTTTGGGGACTGACTTATTATAATACATGATCTCTGTTTCTTAAGAATAAAATTATTTACACCAAGAGTGGATATATGTACTAAATGAGTGGTGAAGGCAATAAAAGTTGTGGAGAGATTATTGTATTCAATAGGGATTAGAAAAGCCTATTTGGGAAAAAGAGACAGAGCTGTAATTGATTTGGGTCCTGAAAGACTGGTAGAATTCAAACGACAAAATCTGTGAATGGTAAAATGCAGTGAATGGTAAAACTAAGTAATAGAGTGGGCAAAGGAATTCAGTGAGGTCATTTGTATTTCCATAAGATCCTATACACCTTATTTGGTACACATATCCATTTGTGACACTGTTTATTAGTTACTTGGGTTACTGCTTTTGTACTGTTAATGGATTCCTTTGATATTTGTCTTACTGGCTTATTAAATTTAAAATACTTGAGTTTGGGGCTGGGGATTTAGCTCAGTGGTTTTGCTGTCTGCTGCGCAAGCACAAGGACGCAAGTTCGATCCCTGGTACCAAGAAAAAAATACTTGAGTTTGCACTAAAAATGTCAGTGATATTTAGTTGTTTTAATGTCCACTGAAGATTCTGTAAATCAAAAGACCAGCTAAAGAAAAGCTACAAAAAAAAAAGAGAAATCATAGCAGACTGAGCATAAAGAAGCTAAAAAATTTCTCTAAATCAATTCTATATGCATAAAAAATTATGTGAAAGGGTGGCCAAAATCAATATGGCTAAGCTTTAAAACTATCAACAATTTACTCTGTTTAAACTAGAATGAAATAACTGAAGATCAGGGTTTAAGAAACCCACCCCCATTTTGAAGGAAAAAAGCTAAGTAAAACACTAAAATAAAATGTATGCCACACTTTGAAAATGAATGCAAAGATGTTCATTATGCCAGGAAATAAAACATCTGAGCACTCAGGAATATGATGTTTCAGATATACTAATTACAACCAAATGAACAGATACTTATATGAGTTTGTATTTACAAAAAATGATCTAGTAAAGTGAGGCACATTAGAAATTTTATTAAAAACTGATCAAATTATCAAAATTTGATTTTTGATTCAAAGCTCCTATTGTTTTCAAAGGGAACAATGAGTAGCAAAATAATAAGCAGAGAACAGGATTACAAATTGCATTCAAATTAAAAATTCTTGAATTGAAAAATTCAGCCAGAAATTTTATAAACACGAGACAGAACTAATTTAATAGTAAAATAAGAATAATTTAAATATTAGGTAAATAAGAAAGAGTAAATTTATACTTCTGAAGTTCATCTGTAGTAATCATAGGGCACTGCAGCTGATTTTAAATAAACTGTAGCTTCCATAATGCCCTTTACTGCTTGACAAAGGGCAGCACTGACATATTGAGAAATATGTCTTCACTAGAATGAAGTATAAAAATTCCATGAAAGTCTCATCTCAATTTTTCTGGGAATATCTGATTCTCTGCACTGTACAACCAATACTATTTATTTTAGGGAAGTACTAAACAGATCCTATTTTCTTGATTATAAACCCCAGATCAAGCTAGGAGTGTCCTTCTTAAGCTCCTTGCTGTTTCAAAGAGAGCCATGAGGAACCCAAGAATTTCATGAAACATTTAAATGGCCAGAGAGCAAACAGAAAACAGAGATAAAAAATAACAGAGCTCTCTTAAGCTGTACAGTTTCACACACATTTAGGTTATTAAATTATACAGAATTGTTTAGTTATATAATACTATATACACAATGGTTATGTAACAAACCTTTCTGCAAGGCTCCAACTGATATAGTTATAAACAAATGGAGCATATATTAGAAGTGATGATATCAAAGCAAATCTATCAACCTTCAGAATTCTGAAAGCCAGTAAAAACATCTATTTATAAACATTGTAAAACAATAACAGTTGTTATATATGAGGAAACAGTTTCCTCTTATATATTATTACTGTTATATACTGTTACTGAAATAAACTTTCATAAACTATGGTTTTTAAGTGATCTTGAGGCAGAAAGAAACCATTTTAAGCTTCATATTCTAGGAATATTTTCACATATTAAGAATAGGATTCCTCATAATTGATGATGAACAATAAAAAAGTCACTTAGAAATGTGTAGCAGCAACACAGCTTTATAAATTATACTTCTATATGGATAAGAAGTACCAAAGTAAATAGCTTTATTTTCATGTTAACAAAGGAAATTAATCAATGACTACAATCATAATGCTTTCAGACTCTTAAGAAAATAGTACCATGAAGGAAGTGCTAGTTCCATAACATGAACATTCTTCTTAAAAAATAAAATAGCAAAGGAGAAATGCATATATTCTGAATTAATATTTAATTGTTTGAAGCATCAGAGGGTAATTCTAATGACTAGGAAGGTAGGAAATGCCATTTTATTTTAAAATAAATGATAAGACCCAGAGAATCATAGGTCATTTAGTTTAACCTCTGCGGCTGACAAGTGACTCAGGCCCTTTTTATTGGAAGTAGCCTGAAGTTTCAAAGAACCCCCAAAGCTTAAAGAAATGGCTCAAGCATTCAAACTAATATGCACTAATTACAAATTTATCTTATGATTCTAGGCTACAGTGGCACACAATAAAAGAAAAAGGGATCATATTATTTAGATCTCCATGAGACACATTATGACACAAATTCATTTATTCCATGGATTTCACAGAAAATGACAATGTAAAATAATACATAAACTAAAAAAACCCCAGCTGCTATGAGAAAACAATCTGAACTCTATAGGATGAAATTTCTACTGTCAGATATGTATATCATCAGGCTACAGATATTTTTTAGAAAATGCAAGAATATCTAATATTTCACCACTCAAATACTTAATTTTATTTTTCTATCAGTGCTATTTTCTAAATTTGGGTATATAAAAATACACAATTCAGTTTTCTCACAAGAAGTATAACAACACATTTAAAAGTAACTCACAGAAAAATATAATTTTCATTTAGGAGCTTTAAATTAACTTAGAAGTGTGCTAATAACTTTACAAATCTTTGAAATTTTAATTGTATCAAAGAACAAAGTTGAATACTGATATGGTTAATAGTTTTACTCAGTTTTGGAAACTGGTTATTGATTCACGCTGACAGGTAGCTATCAATCTTCAAAGTAAGAAACTTGATTCTAGGAGTATTCTGATTCTTATAAACAAAAAATCCATATCATATATTTTACTTCATGAATACTAAATGTGGAAGAACAGCTGCTTGCCATTACTGAACTAAGAAATTCTGGTTGGCTGAAATTAATGATTTATCCCAGCTGTTTTGAAACACAAATCAGAATTTCATAACTACTGTAAACTTCAGTTAGGAAGAAATGTATTCAATTTTCAAAGTAAAGCATGAACTTTCAGGATTCAAGTACCTATATCAAATATTAAAGTGTAGTATCTATACTTTTCATACAGTTAAGAATTATGAGAAAACATAAATAGCTTTGTTGATCAGATGGGATAATTATTAGTGATTTGATGTAATGATAATTTATATAATCAACCACTGATCAGACAAATTTTTCTGACAAAATGAGATATAATACATGAAAACACTTAGAAAACATACTAAGAGTATCTAACAAATACATGGTAGGAAAAAAATGCTGAGCCATTTCAGATGAAATTTAATGCTTTCTCTTTTTTTGTGGTACTGGGGATCGAACTCAGGGCTTCACATGTGCTATGTAAATACTCTACTACTGAGCTATATTCCCAGCCTTAATGCCCTTTATTTCCAACCTTCCACAGATTTTCATTAGCAATCCCTTTCTTTTTCTTCTCAACCAAGAGACTTCAATTGATAATTAATACAGGCAATAGAACAAAACATGAAAGGCCAGAATATGCAAAATTAATTCTTTAAAAATGGATGTATGGCATAATACAGGCATAACATATGTATACACTAAATTTTACCTTGAAAACATCTGGAGAGTTTAGAAGGAAAAAACTATTGCTGTCAAGTATCTAAATCTTCCCAACAATCACCAAGTAGTTTGGTAGTTTGAAACTAAAGCAAAACTATAGCAAAATTAAACTGTTAAGATTAAATACACAGAAAAACAAACTATAAATCTTGACGATATCGACTGAAATGATACATTCCAGGAAGTAATAAACTAAGAGCAATTCATTTTGCTAGCTATATACTTTTTAATGGAGATCACATTAAAGACTAACTTGGAAAAAATCCTGGTGAATTAACACATGTTTTTAGTGTGTACAGATATTACATTTGAAATTACTAGCAGAAGCCTATTTATACATTAAAAGAAGTGCTTGGAAAGTTTGAGAATGTGCAAGGTTGGCAGGTCAAAATCCCTATTAAGCACAAAGGCAAATTTTTCCTTGGTTATTACCTTACCTGGGCTGTAGAAAAGGTCAGGTCTTTCTAGAATATCTCCTTCATGGATATATGGCTCAATTCGATCATCACCATACAAGTACTGCTCACTCTCATCCATTTGACGACTCTCTACCATCTCCAGCCACTGAGAGTTATGCCAGCAAAATTTTTCCCTCTGAATTTTCTTTGCCCATTCATCATCATATTCCTATTGAAAACAGCCAACTGTTAGTATACAGAATAAGTTTACTTCCTGTGACTTAGGTAGCAACAGTTTCATGAGGAGAGAATTTTGATAGCCTTTATTTGGTTCAGAAGGAATATTAAAAATACCTGTTTAAAATTATACAATAGCCAATTAAAGGAATTAAATATATATTAAGTCAGTCTCTAGATTATCAATCATTAATGGCAATGACAAATGATGGAAGAAGCTAAATTTTTCAAATTCTTACTGAAATATTATCTAAACACTGTCACAATTTAGGTAAATGATCAGATTTGAGCTTCCGGTGAGTTCTTGTGGTTATAACTATTTGTGGCACTAATGACAGGTGGTTAACATGACCTCTTGATAGATTCTTTAGTTTAGATAATGTGAGGGATGGGAAGCATTAGTAAGGCACTACTTTAACTACTGAACTGGTTTACTACAGAAAACAATCTGATTTTGTTTCAACCACAAAATTGTATCTGAGTTATAAATCTATTTCTTTAAGTGTCTATCCTTGTTTTGACCATGAACTCCTGAGAAGCAACTGTGGATTATTCACCAACAAGTGTGTCTGTAACACTCGTCACAGAGAGAAAGTTCTTGGTGAATTTTCTGAAGGACAAATGGGCCAATTATTATAAACTATAGCAGCTCTTTATCTCTTGTCCCATGGATTATAGGAACTTTTTTTAGTTTTTAAAACTTTTATATTGACAGAAACATTAAATTGTGCCCATTTGTGAGGTATTATGTGATATTTTGATATGCGTATGTATTGTATAAATCTTAAAGTTACACATACCTCCTCCAACACCATTTCTTTATGGTGAAACTCCTTTCTCCTAGCTTTCTGAAATATTCCATATCTTACTGTTCTCTGTAATACTTATTGTGGATCAGCACACCAGAATTTACCCCTACCTCTAACTTAGCACCCACTGAACACAACTTTTCCTACAGTTCACCCCCATAATCACCATCCACTCGAATTTCTATGATATAATTTTTGTATCCCACACATGAGTGAGGTTACGCAGCAGTCGTCTGTGCCTGGCTTTTGCCAGATAATTCACAAAAGAGTGATCACTTCTCCTCACAATAGAAAGGATGAACTTTTAAATTATAACCATTAAGGTAAAACATTTAATGCACAAACAAAAAGCAAAATGGTATTTTTGAGGAAGAAACTGAAAACACTTACCTTTTACTTAAATGACGAGTTAGTCACAGGTTACCCAAACTCCAAGAATGTGTCTTAAAATGTCAGAAATCCTATGACTGGTAATGATTTGACTGTGTTTCTCTTGTTTTAAGAATAGTAGCTTGTTTCATTTGGCAAGAGGGAGGCATATAACTAACTTTTCATCTTGGCACAAAAATTAAAAATCTGAATTATCTGAATAAAAAGATACTCAGGGAAAATGACAGAAAAGTGTATGATCAAATAGCTATTATAAATTAAGTTCTAAGCATATGATTTCCTAGTATAAAAACAGGAGCCAAATGTCTAAAGCATATAAAACATGAGGTGTATTCTTCCAATGAGTAAAATTTGTAGCCAGGTATGATTGCACACACCTGCAATTCCAGCTCCTAAGAGGTTGAAGCAGGAGGATGGCAAGTTCAAGCCCAGCCTGGGCAACTCAGCAAGACCTTGCAGTGCAAAGGCCCCAAGTTCAATCCTTAGTACCATTAAAAAAAAAAATTAAAACTTGCCTCTTAGTAATGCCTGTGAAATGCTACAGAGGTAGGTAAAACATAAATTCTTAGAATACATATGTATAACATGTATTTAGCCTAGTAAGTAATGCTCTGTACAAAGGAAAAAAATTCTGTTGAGCTACCATTTTTTTTTCTTTTTTGAGACAGGGTCTCAACTATGAAGTCCAGGATGGCCTTGAACTCACTAGGTAGCTTGCAGGGATCCTCCTGCCTCAGCCTCCCGAATGCTAGGATTACAGGTGTGTGCCACCACATTTGGCTGAGTTACGATCTTATACCATCTTTTAATAGGTTCATATTTAATAACTCATCAAAACAAAACACATATAATGTGGAAATGCGTAATAAAGATTTTTTTTTATTTTACAAATAGCTTGTTTAGTAACTTCAGCTGCCTTCTTTTTTTTTGGTACCAGGGATCGAACTCAGGACCTTGCGTTTGCAAGGCAGGCAGCAGAACCACTGAGCTAAATCGCCGGCCCTATTTCAGCCTTCCTATTACCCTAGAAGCTCACAATAATATTATTATACTTACACATACAAAGTTATAATGAGTTATTATACTTACACATACAAAGATTTTTTTTTTCAGGACAGCCTATTTGACAAAAGTCCAAGCACACAAAGCAAATATAACCCTGAGGAGCCACAGCTAACTGTTGACATGCCCTTGGTAAAACTGGTTTTTCTAAGACACTGAGAGTTGGCACAGAACCTAGCACCATATGTAACAAGACTGCCCTTAAGCATTCCTTTAAAAGGTTCCCTTTATTTTATCAGATTATGATGGAATTATTGTGTAGAATCAGTGTATTTATTTTTTTAAGAACCCCCCCAAATTTCATAATCAAGTAATAAGAGAATAACAATAGTTATTATACCGTGTGTCAGCATCTTCAAAGTAGTTACTCAGAGTATAAGACATTATAAGGCCTAAAAGTATAGTAGCAATGATACAGATTGCACTATCATTTGTCCTTTAAAAACAATTTTAATGATTATTTAAAGTAATTGTGCAGTATAAAACAAAAGATTTAATTTCTGTGCCTGACATAATGATTACCAAGCATTGTTTACAGGATTACAATGAAAACACTAGCTGTTATCTCAACTTTTTGAATGAAAAAGCAAAAGATTTTTCCTCAGGAAATATAAGACAAAATGTTGTTCTATACCAGACTGAGTCATCACTTAGTATACAATTGTGTCTTGCAGAAGATCCAACGATATTCACAGAACCCTACTGTAATGAATACATTGCGATGAATAACAAATAGGGTTTTCCTAAGAGGTGGCCCTGCGGTTTTAATAGGTATGTATGGTTCTTTGTTATGGATCACAGATTAAAATGGCAAAAACTTTTATTGAATAGCATCAAGACTTTAAAAGTTCTTCTTTTAAAAATCTTAAAAAGTTAAAAAAAATCTTAAAAAATTATAACATGACATTTCAAAAATACTGTTTGGATTTTTATAATTATAAATTTATATTTTTATTGTTGAAATGTGAAAATTATAGAAAATATTTATAATATCTTTACCTGGTCAAGTCACCATATATTCCTGCAGTTTTTAAATGATCTTTTAAATTCTAATATTAATTGCTAGCTTAGAAAAAACACACATACACTTTTTGCTTTTTTATTTTGACACAGGTCTATGTAATTCAGGCTGGCCTCGAATGTACAGTGATCCTTCTGCATCAGCCTCCCAAGTGTGAGGTTACAGGTGTGAGCCACGACGCCCAGCCTGAACAATATTTAATAAGACATAGGCACACACCCATGTGCATGCACACACACATACACACAATAATTTAGAGGCTTAAAAATAAACATTATTAAGATACCATACTGGTGCCATAAGAGTTTGTTCTAGTTTGTGGAATATAGCCTGAGAGTTTCACATGTTCACCATATAAAACAATTAGAATGAAAAACACATTAACACAATATTCATTTAAATATTTTTGTTTTACTCCTTGGTAATATTAGAATCAAATTAGGTATCAATGTTTGCTTTATGATGCTGACCACTGATTTTATTTCTGAAAAAGTTTATAATCTTTATTGAAAATAAAAATTTTAGCTTATAGCTGCTGAGATTCTATTTAGCAAGTGCCATACACAATAGGCTAAGCCAGTGGACGTAAGAGTTTTAAACTTTAGAAAAAGTTCAGAAGTATATTTTAGGGACAGATATTAAGTCACTTGATACCCACTCTTACTGTTTTATAAAAGAAAAATTATTAAGACTAAAAATGTGAGAATCTTAAAAATACACTTTCCTAAGATAAACATGGCAATTTTATACTCCATCTCCCATAACTTTTTCTCTTTCCAGGAAAACCAAATAAAAAAGTATTACCATATTTCAACCATTATGGAATTCTTAGGCTAACTTCCATATATACTTTGGGAATCTCTAAGAATACAGTTTAACAGCCATGGCAAGATCATAGTTTCTTTGTATTGCAGAATCTGAATTTACATATATTAATATTATGGAATGGATAGTACAAAGTACACTGAATTAGGAGTTAGGAGATCTGGTTTCCTGTTCTAGCTCTGCTACTAAGTGAAGTAAGCAACTTTATAAAGGTATTTTAATCTCTTTGACTCCAGACTCCTATGAAAAATCTCTGTGAGTAAAAACATATAATTAGTATAACATGTTATTCTATAAGTAAAAAGTTATTTCTTAATAAAGCTGTTGAAATAACTCTCCAAGCTGAAAAATACTGGCAGTATGAGAGGTACTTTAAAAAAGTTAAATAGCAACTCAAAATTAATATTCAGTGTCAAAAACTTTAAAAATTCAACATACCTGAATTAAAATTAATTTCTGCTAACACCCCTCCCCCAATCTCTACTTCTCGAACAACCCCCATCTTCTGCCTTATATCAGGAAATAGATGTGACAATTAAGGCACATCACAGTTCAATCACTGGTAAGATATGTCATCAAAACCTTTGTGGAAATATTCTTGGGATAGGGCTGTTTTTTCCTTCACATTTGAAACACTTTTCACAAGGATTGTACCTTTGTCCTGGCTTTGATTCTTGAATTTATCCTGGTATTTGAAGAAAAACACTTTTGTCTATTTTCTTCTCTTCTCAGCTCTGACATTATGATCTAAGGGCACTCAATTTCCATAAATTCTAAGGTGTCATGAAAGACTTCTGGTTTGATTTTACATGGAGATATGTCATCTTTTTTGAAGTCCTACATCATTTTGCTTACTACTTAACCACTGAGACATTATGAAGTCTT